TTCTACCTCTTCTCCTTCCATACAAGAGATACAATCAGTCCTGGCTGCCTTTCATGCCCTTTCCTCCACAAGGCCAAACTCGTAGCATCTGTATGGTGTCCTCTGTATTGTTCCCTAGTCTCCAGCTGCTCCCACTGCAATGCACTGATTTTCTGGCCACAGAAACACTCAGCATCCCCTTCTGCACCCACAGCAGTCTGTAGACATTTGTACTCTTCTTCCAAGCTTTTTCTGTTGAATCATCTTACCTTTTTGAATGGAATTTTTTACCATTTGGATTAAAGTTTTCCATCCATTGATGATTAAATTTGTTCAGAAACTTTTCAGAAGTACGTTTTAATAACAAAATACTGCTCCTCCAGTGTTATGTACTTGGCAGTTATACAGACCTATTTCATATGATAATGTTATCGTCTCCCTACATTAGAGGAAGTTCTGAGTAGAACAGTTAATCCAAACTTAATTTTCTCAAAGTATCATAGATGAATGCTCCTGAACCCAATTAGTATGCTTTCTGCTAGTCAAATAGACACAAAAATACTGAGGGTGGAAGAAGGAGAAAGGAGAGATGAACAGTATTTCTGATGAAATAAATTCCTAAAATGGGAGTCAATTTGACTATAATTTGATTAAAAATGTCTACTGTTTTTACATCCGGTGCTAAGAGAAGTGGAAACAGTTTGCACTTAAATTTTACTTTAGGTTTCTTTATAACACCAGAAGAAAGTATTATTACTGTTCCCTCATAAAAGTTGACCATCTTCTATATTTTCACACTTCTGGATGCATGAACATTACTGAAAGGTTCATGCTCATGTGCTCCCCACCATTGCTGACTCTGGATTGAAAATAAACCAGATCAAAATGAGCCCTGACTGAGGGAAAACTGTTTTGTAAATGTCTCAATCAACCTCCAACCTCAGCTCTACAGATCTGTGCAGAAGCTCAGCACTCTCACCAGGGAAGCAGAAGGAGTGCTAACCTATACTCCCACTGCAAACATTAATTTATCCAGATGTCAGTATAAAGAGTATGTCTTACCTTTGTTTGTACATGAAACAGGGAGATGGGGACATGAGGGAGGGAAGGGGAAAAGGGCTCCATGTTCACACAATGAATACTGTCACAGCTGGTAGATGCTGCTTTGATTTCCCTGTGCAAGCGTGACTTACAGGGATAGTGCTGCCCTACCATCGATCCTCGAGGCTGGGGTCATACAGGGATGAGCATACAGGCTCGGGGTGCAGAACTGCTCTCAAAGAAGATAAGTGGGGTGTCAGTCACAAGGCACAGGTTTCTCTCAGTCTCACATCTGATCGTGGGACAACTGCAAAAGCAGATTGGTAGGTGTAAGGAGGATCCCAAGTTTGGGGAACTACACTGGAAGCAGAGAGCGTAGAAATTTGACACTGAAAACTAAGGGGTACAGATGAAATCTATCCCCTGCACGGTTTGTGAGCCTTGGAAGATGCAGCAGCCCCCAAAGTGAGAATAAACTTCGTGTTGTAGCGTAGGACAGAAGTGGTCTGGCTATTTAAGGCCAATTGTTACTCCCATTCAAGTCAGCAGGACTGCTTGGATTTAGCAGCAGCTGTGTGGGGCTTGGCTGCTGGCTGGGGTTAAACCATGACAGAGGACTAAATGAAAGCAATATAGTCTACTGAAAATAAATAGCTCTTGAACAACTAATTGGATATTTTTAATGACCTTATAAATTTAACTGGTATCGCAAGAGTCTCAATGCTATGAAATAAAAATAAACACTTTGCTCACAAAATCCTAATAACACAAGGGAGTAACATAAAATGTGACACATCATACTGATTGAGAAAGAACTGAAAGGATGCACTGAAGAGACAAAAATCTGCATGACAGATGCAAGAGAAACAAATCTGATTTCAGCTCCCTTTCTCTTTCTGCTGAGTATAGATGAATCCTAGAAAATTACCTTGCAGTGCCATCACCTTTGTGAATACTCTGAGGTTGTAAGAGACAATTATGCCTTACACATTATGCAAATATAAAGTCACACCTCTTAGGCACAGAAGTGAAGAGCTGCCATGCAGGGGAGCAGGGATCCTGAAGGACTGCTTCTGAAGGACTGCTCCAGTGAACAACCAAGCCAACACAAACTACACAGCCTGCTGGCCCAGGCACATCAATTCCCTTCCTTGATGCATACAGAGCAGAGGACTGAGCAGGGGATAGAGAAGTTACCAAACCTCTCCTGGTGTGCTCAAATGTCAGATCTGGTTTGGCATTCGCACTGAAGCACTGCAAAGTCAGAAATAGTTGAGAAGCACCAGAATTGGACACATAACAAGATCATAACAGCAGTGGAGGCAGGATCTTAATTAGAAATAAATGATAAAAATCAAGACTGGTTTTTTAGCTCCTGAAAAGTGCCACCTAGACAGCTGTAACTTGAAAAAGGAAGCTGCCTTATTACAATACAAGTCTAGGAGCTAATCCAAGTAGGTGGGCTACCACCTGTAAGGTCATGCTGAATAATAAATTGTCAGGGAAGACTCCTGCAGACCTCTTGCACAACTTTCCACACAGCTGCACTTAATACTGAATGGACAAGCTACATAACATTAGCCTGTCATAGAATATGTGCTTCAGGTACCAATTGGCTTCTTTCTGGTTCTATTTGCAGCAAGATCAAATTGCACTTAAAAAGGGCACAATGGATCATGGCCACCACTGGACTGTGGGGCTCCTAGCTCTGAGAAAAGCCACTGAAAAATGTGGATCATTTTCTTGGAGGACTGAACAACATTAACACTGAGGTATCCTTGTACTTTGCACTGGTACCACAGTACCTTTTGAAAGGCATCAAAAGCAAATGCATCTTTAGGGAAAGTATTTTAAACCATTGACTTTATTAAAATACTTAATACACAGTTTTTAGAGGAAGATTCTTCTTTGCTTTTTAGCTTCAATCTCTTGATATCTAGTAGCAGAGAAAGGAGATTTGCATTTCTCAGGGCATTAAACCCATCAGGTCCAAGTGGAAGTCTATTTGTTTTCACCACCTTCATTCAAACCTTCCCCAGGAGCCTCCCCTTCCAGAAAAGCAAAGGTGATTGATCTCTCTGAAAAGCTACAGGTCACAATGCAAGACGAGTTTGACAGTCAGATGTGAACATGGAGCTCTGTACCTTCTCAGAATCATTACTCTTTCAAAATATCCATTTCAAACTGAGAGTGGGAAAAAAGACACTGTCAAAATACAAGGGCAAAAACACATACATGGACATAGTGGAATGCACATGGAAGACAGCTTGCAATGCTGCAGCTCTGAAGTAAAAGGTAAATCAGAAGCCAGGTCTTGTTGAAATACAAGATGCAAGAGCTGGGAAGGAGAAAGACAGAAATAACCTGGACACATTCTTAAAAAAATGAAATGTCCTAACCTCACGGAGAAGGCTGTAATTATCATACACACTGCAATTGCCATGAACCATGGAGATCAGTGACAAAGTATATGTTATGACAATCTCACTGACAAGTATAATCTGGGGGAAATTATTCATATTGAGCAAAGAAATTAACTGTGTGTTTCAATGCAAGATGCACAGAGGATGCATAGGCTTTCACATCAAATTAATAAGGCTCTTTTTCAGAGATCATTTTGCAACCTTGCATAGGTGATATTATATCTTTTCAATAGATAATGTGCAGAAACTATGTACAGTTGAAAAAAAGAACTTTGATGAAAGCATTTTTTCCCCTCAAGTTTTACCACAGTATAAAAAGTAACTTATATAACTCCTTCAGTTCTCTAAAACACATATGGAATATCCCAGAAGGAGAAACCAGGAACGCCATCTAAATGATGGCGTGTGCATTTATAAAACAGGTTGAACAACCAGAGAAGCCACCACAAAGCAAAGTCATAAGGTTTTCATATAGAAAAAAAAACAAGAAAAAAACAGGAGTAAATTTTGTTTACAAACATGAAAACTCATTTAAACAGAAATTCATTTTAGTTATAACAAATTAATGACCTTCACTAATCAAACTACTGAATGGATGGATGACTCACACACTAAGTAAATGATAGAAAGAGCCAATTCAATCCCTGCTTGATAAATGGACAGTAAACTTTAAAATCTGCATTTGGTTTCCAATTAATCCGAGCTCAGAACAACTCCTCCCTTAGACAAGCAGACGGCAGCTTCTCAAAACTAATATTATGAACATCTGCCAGTCTGCTGCAACAAAAGCCATTAGGGCATTCATGTGCTTCTTCATTTGGTAAGAAAGAAAGTCAGCCAGAGGATGAGCACAGTGCTACAGGACAGACAACTCCATCTTTGAAAATGAGTGTCCTGTTCCCCGGGACACTCATCCACTGCCACAAAATGACTTACTTTTGCCCTGCAGTTATGTAAATCAGGAGACTTTCTGTCTGATGTAGCTCTCTTCCACTGAAACTACCTTCTCCTTTACACAGGAGTTGCCTGGCATTTGTTTTGCCATTTTGTGCCTGGATGCAAGACTTCATTATCAGCGCTGCTTACTACTCTTGCATATCACAGTGATGTGTACTTTTTAGTAGTATTTACAATGGTATCACTGTGGAGAACTAAGCCCTGTACTAGAAACAGTCTCTTTAACAGAGACCTTAATACTAAGGATTTGGTACATTTCTGATCTACAGATAAAAAGGCAAAGCTAAAATCAGCCCACTATACATTTGGCATTAGGTTCAAACATCAGGAAAAAGCAAACATCCAGCATATTCCCTTGTTTCAAAGGGATGCTATTTACAAGAAGAATTCGCTTTTTTAATATTTCAACAACAAAAACCCAGCTAATTTCAAAATTAGAGTAATCTAAGGCGGCTTAGTTTTTAATCAACAGAGAACACAAACAACATTGCTGTTTGCCATTAAACACAAATCTCAGAAATGCAGGGAAACTATGATCTGTTATACTATGGGTGACAAATCACAGCCAGCTTAATAACAACAGTAAAAAAACACTTCTGCTTTTTTTAAACACAGCTCCTAAAAAGTATGGCATCCCAATATTTCCTCAGTTCCAGATTGCTGACATTATAAATTAAAGGTGAAAAGAGATCCATATATAAACAAGGCAGCTTTCCACTGACTTCATTGTACTTGGTTCTTGTCTGAACCTTTGGAAATTTCATCTCCAAATACCACAAGGTAAGGTTGAATTTATCAGCTACAAAACAATGTCCATTTGAATGTGGAATTCAGAAAAACGAAACGAAAACCAAACTCAAAAAACACACACAAGTATTTACAGCAATTCAGATCTCTGTCTTCCCAGCCTTCACACTTGTGTGTCACCTTCTGCAGAACTGTACACACACAGTCCTCTGAGACCAAGGCCCTATGTTATGGTACGAGGCCTTTTGGGCGGTGGGGGTGGCATGAGTTCAGTGTCGGGATCAAGGTGGTGCTTCCGCATCTGTCCTTGGGAAGCTGCTGCACATCTGTCAATGAACTCAAACAGCATCTCCTTCGTCACTGGATTCTTGATGCTGTTGCAGACAGCTGGGAACAAAGAACACATTCTCATGTAACTAAACTGATTTGTTCCAGTCAGCACTTCAACAACTTCACTCCCTCTTGGCAAAATAACAACATACTCTGGCTCGAGTATTAAGCCTTAAACACACGCTTTGACAAGGTGGCTGTGTCTGGAGTCACGAATCTCTGCTCTGCCCCACAGAGAGCAAAGCAATTCTGTGGGCCTCTACCCTCATGGGAGTCTCTCATTCTAAAACAAACTAAAGGCACATGTGTGTGTGTAAGGCTTCCTGAAGCAACTATCAAACCACCAAGAACTGACATCCTCTTGAGGCTAGGAACAGCAACAAAGGCCTTGTGAGACACAGCTTTGAAACACAAATCAAATCCACGTAGATGGAAACAAGACTGGCTTCTAATATTGAAAATGTCTGAATTATGGTCACTTACTTTTTTCACCAGCAAGTACTGTAAGTACCCTGAACCTGCAATGCAGAGTCCTTTTTTTTTGAACCCATATACCCTCACGGGGCAGAAAGACTTTACACCTTGGCACCATGGCATGATGGCTGCATGGGCACTCTTGGGGTACTTAACATGACTCCCTAGACCATAGTTTGTAAGTCATGGTCCATGGAACAAATTTTAGGGTTGTTTTATGAAACAAATAAATAGGCTTGCTTCACTTAAAAGAAATGAAATATTTTTAATACTTTCCTGTGTAACTTTGTATTACCCTAATTAATCCTCCTGAGAGACTAAGAGAAGGAAAAAAAAAAAAAAAGGAAAAAAGGAGCATGAAATTAAGTGGGAATCCTACAACTATCTTGGAAGAAAGCACAAAATGATTAGAGGATAATTGATAACATATAAGGGCTGCCCACAGTAAGGATGCAATTTCCATGCAAAACAATCTACTAACCCCCTAGAGTACTAAACATTAGGACTCCTTAAATTGTACTTGCAATGCAGCATTGTTACGAATAACAATGATTCTCAAAAGCATTCCTTTCTTTCCTGCAGAATACCAGAACCAAACAACTAATAAAGAACCTTTCTAGCATTATTTTTAATAATCTCACTATTTTTGGTGAAAAGGTGCTTTAAGAGTTGCACAGTATTTGACTTTATCAGTTGGGAAGCATTATGATTACCAATAATTTAGGAACAGAATTCAATTCACATGGCAACTGGCGTAACTCAGCATCAACTTCTGAGCGCTGCCTTAGCTTAATCACTCAAAAAGACTTCCTGTTTTCAATCTGAAAGGTAACAAAGTCCAAAAGCAAGATTCAGATAGACGCTTGTTTTGTTGCCATTTCAACCATGGGGAAAAAATAGCATTTTTCATCAAGAGAAAGATAATAGAGGAGAAAGGATCTAGAGAAAGAAGTCTCAAATGATAAAAGTGTAACTTCTGGAGATTTTGAAAAATGATCAAACTCAAAGCCAAAAGAAAACTTTCTGTTCTGAAAATTCCTATGGAAATTTTAAAATGTATCTTAAAAATTCTTCCTGTAGCATTTAATTTTCTTTTGCTTTTAATTTTTAGGAAGTTCACTGTGTTTTGGGAGAAAAAAGGTCAGGAATAACAAAACTGCTTTACAAATGGAAAAAATGAGAAGAGAAAAAGGACAAATACATATACTTTAAAGAATGAAGGCAAGAAGAATATGCTATTCATTAAAAAAAAAGAGAAAACTCCAGGGAAAATGAACTATTGAAACACTAAGGTGAACTAGAGAAGAAAAATTTAGGTCATGGTCACAAAGAGATGCCATTGTACTTGTGTGACTTTTGTAGTCCATTCCTCTTTCCTGACAGGTCTGCTCAGCAAGTATTTCAGCTACATTCTGTGCTGGTTCCCTAAGGTGCCAACAGATTTATTATCTCCTGGCAAAATGACCACACTGTGTTTATTCAAGAAAATCTACTCACTGTTCAGGAAGAAATACAAGTAGAAGGGTCTAGAGAAAATCCTACATCAGCCCTAGTAATTAGCATGGTCTTAAATAGGATTAAACTTCATTTTGGCACTTAACAAAAGTCAGTATCAATATGTTTATTGCTACTCAGCCTTGCACACACTTCTATTGAAACTCTTCATCTTAAAGTAAATATCATCCTTTAATTTACAGTACATGGTAAAATATTTTTTTGTAGAGGAACATAAAAGTCTCACAATTCCGCATGAACGTACCCCCATCTTTCATTAGTTTCCTTGTTTCATTGTTTGTGTAACTATTGTTGAAACCCAAGATGACATTTTTCTTCTATTAATTTTTTAGCCCATCTGCCAAATAATGGTTTTGGCATTTTAATGGATTTTTTGTTTCACTAATTCCACTCATAATGTGCCAGTTTGCATTACATCTCAGCAAGCCAACACAACGCTAGGCACTGATGTCAGCTGAAGTGATGCTATTGTAAATAAAAACTTTCTTGGCTCTGACTTGAAAGGCATGCCCTGCCATTTAAATGCAGAAGTGTTTGCCGTTCTGCAAAGATTCAGGCACTTGATTCTGTGTTACCTGTTAAATTCTGCATCAGAGTATTGGTTTGACTGACTTTATCAAATAACCCTGCAGCCAGATGATTCATGCTATCTAAAAACTAGTGATGATACAAGCATTTGCAAAATAAGGCATTACGACAGTAAGTTAGGGGAGTCAGGGCTCAGACCAGAAATGAGAACACAGAGTGCCTCTCCTACTTAGAACAGAGGAAAACCTTTAAAATTTTAGCCTGAGAAACTTCTAAAGCAAATTGTTCTACTCACCCATGGCAGTGCTGTAGGCATTTGGAAAGCTTTTGTCTATCCTCTGTCTCATGAAGACCCAGCTGTTGTTTTCAAACTTGCACTCTATAATTTTGTTGTCGTACTGTTTGAGTTCTTTTGTCACCTGTATAAAAAAAAAAAAATTGCTTAGGATAAACAGATTTTAATTCACAATTTTTTCTTTCTTTTAGGGATGAATAATAGAAGACCAAAAGCTGCCCTGCATTTGTCAGCAACATGCCTCCATCCTACACAAAAAAAATGCACTGAATACATCTGCATTTTACATATATTCAGCTACTTAACATTTTTAAAATACTTTCAAATTTGCTGTCAATATTCACCAATTATATTATGCTAAAACATCAGCAGTGCTAACAGAGGGGGGGAAAAAAGTCACTTCTGGCCCAAATGCAAATAGGTTTCCATGGGAATAAACTGCTTCCAGTTTAAGTGCTACTGCCAACCTAAGTGTATGAAATGTATTATCCATGTTTCATCAACCTTCTTTGTTGAAGGTCTCACAACAAAATGTCAGATTTCAATACTGGAAAAAGCTTACAAAAAAAAAAAAAATCCACTCCTTACATGACTAAGGTTTTTTCTTTCCTTCTTTTTTTTTCCTTCATTTGTCTTTAAAAATTAAGATTGTAACTTCAAAATAATCCAGACTTCCGAATTAAATATATTCTATTTAATTAAATAAATCTCCTTCAGGCCCTATTGATTCATAGATTTGTCAGCAGCCAATATCCTGAGCTATCTGTCTTTCTATTTGGCAATGCTGCGTGGTTTGGAAACGTAGTTTATATGCATCAGACTTAGTAGTTGTTTTGGCTACTTCATCTTATGCATCCTAATCTATGATACAATGCAAAATTTTCATGTAACCATGGAAACCTGAGAACCTTATCTAACGCTTTAACAATTTTACCCATATACTTCACTTTGTTCCAAAGAGCCTCTTCAGCAGTATAAAGCTGTATTTAACTGCTAGCTATGTTTAGTTGCTACAGTTTACCAATAAAAAGCTGTACAAGGTAATGTAACACTTTGGATTCAGGATCTTATGCATAAGCGCTCTCATAAAAAGGAGGTGGTTATTGCAATTCATTAGCATAATTTTTCACCTCTGTTGTCTACTTGCTCCTGAGCAATGACATGGGAATTTACTACTGTCAGAGAGAAACAGATTTGAAAAAGGCCATAGCTGTCTCCAGACAGCTTAATAGCACATCCAGTGGAAAAACCCATGAACCCCTTTTCCATTAACTCCCAGATAAAGACAATTAATTAAGGAAATGGTCCTGAGCATGGATCAAGTCCTCCTATACTGCATAGTCAAGATTTGATAAACAGAATCCTAACTAACACTGTTGGTATTTAATTTGAATACTTGTGTTCAGTCCTGGATAAGGAGCCCTAGGATTCTACTTGTCAAGTGAATGTGGAACTTTGAGAAAATTTTGCATAACTCGCTTACAACTGAGTCCTGTCCTGCTACAGGACTGACAGAGTTTGAGTCAGGTTTTTGTGTCACACACTATTTTTATCCATTCCAGCACTTGAAATGAGTGTTTTTCCTCAAATCATTTACTCCTCAAGTGAAGTTTGTGTCCTCTGGTGATCATTAGATTGCTCAGATTAGCAATCTTTTCCTTTGCAGAATGCTCTGCACTGCACTTCTTCCATCTGCACTGAAAAGCTACATGCAGCCCAGAGGGTTGACTGACACATGTTTATGGGTGCATTATGTTTCATTAGGTGTAAGCAGGAAAACACAACATCCTTTTCCAGTGTACTATGGATTCATAAACCCAGGAAGAAACTCCTGGCTGTGCAGTGGCCTGGGAAAGCATATTATTTTGAAAACAGCTGCCTAGTAGAAGTGGAGGCAGCAGGGGGTATGGCCACATGTCTCATTTTCTGCCAAAGCAGGGAAATGCTAGAAAGATCACCTGATAAAGGAGGAAATGCATAAAACTGCAGGTAATGACTTCAACTAACCACCCACCTCATAAGGTTTTCTCATGGTTTATCATTCTTCTAGTGTTCAGATGCTCAGAATAGCCATAAATTAGATGGCAGCTTTATCTGACTGCAGCGATTAAGCAATATTATTAACTATCGAGAGACTTGCTTGGCCATTCATTAGCAATCTGGAAGATGGATCTTTCCACAAAATATGAACACCTGCCAAAGCATTGACTTAAATGAATTTTCCTATTAGGAAACTGGTGATCACAGCCTTTAACAACTAAAAGTTGTAGTAATTACTTTACAAAGGAAGAAACACAGCACCTACCCTTCCCTGTACTTTGTTAAGTGACCTTAGTCTCACAAAGGTACTTACTCTAATATAAAAGTACCTTTTAGCATCTGCTGGCCTTTTGATTAAAACTACAAGTATTCTGAGAAAATACACTTTCAGTATTAAAAACACTCTTCCACTATTGCATCCTAGTAGACTTCTGAATGACTATTGTTTACATAAAGACTGAACAAGGCTGCAGTGATTCTTGTATCCATAATTCACACCTTACATCTACCTATCATGCACATACTACTTTCTGGTATTTCAGATTCAAAGTGGGACAGGGAAACCATCAAATGTAACTGGCTAGATATTGCTTCCCTTTGGGAACTAATTCTGAGCTCTTCAGCACAGCGTCTTCTCAACTCTCCCTTTGCAGTGTGTTCATCCCTCCTTTTTCCCTTTAAATATTACAGTCTCAAGTAGTACTCAAATAATGCACCATCACTTCTCTTCTGAGAGGTACTTCTTCTAACTTCTAGTGCTTCACAGAAGATGAATTAGGAATGATGGCAGTTCTCAGCCAAAATGCTTATCCTCAGTGCTGGTACAGTGCCAGTGCTTCTGCCATACCGTTGATAAAAGGCCTTGAACCAGCATTCAGCAATTTCAAGATGGAAACTCCCACCACACTAAGGACTCCATGGAGCCTGCCTCAATTAAACATTTATTCCTTAGCCTATTTCTGGACAGCCAGTCAGAATTAGAATCCCAAAGGATCAAATCTTGGACAAGGGCTGTCAGAGGTGGTGTGCATCAGAACAGTAGCACTGGTCTGGTCATCAACTGTGTCCTGGGCAAGGACAAACACCAACCTGTACACTTATTTCTTTTCAAGAGGAAAGAAATGGTTCAACAGCAGCAATGTTTAGCGTTCCTGCCCGTATTTGATCTAATTATCAGGAACCAGCCTATTTACCCAACAGAAATAATTTCCAAAAGCACACAGGAGCATCCTCTTGGAAGTTAGTTCACTACATTACTGCTTGTCTGCAAGGTGTGATTGGAAAAAAATGGCTTGAGCTACATCCCCATTTCAGCAATAGCTCATTATCAAATCAGACTGATGTAATACAAGACCACTGCCCAAGAATGTCAAATTATATGATTATATCTTCCCCTCCCTGCTGAGAAAGGCTTCCCCCACCATCATCATCTGGGCCATTCAATGGGAAGAACTTCAGTGGCCTAAGCTTATTTCGTTTTCTAAGAATGAAGACAGTTAAGGCTTAGGAAATCTCTCATTTTCCAGGCTCCTTCTATCCCCTATGTTCTGAAAGAAATTAAAAATATATTAAAAAAATTTAAAATATCTAGGCCATTTCAACTTTTCTTATCTGGCTGAATAACAGAGTCATTTTGAGACAAGTAATATGCAGCCGCAGTTTATGTCAAATTAGAGCAAAATGTGAAAAAACTCCCAATATATCCAGCTGAGAAAGAGAAGAAACCATTTAAATTGAATGTAGTTAGCTCCAGTTGCATGAAGACGCCTTTACTATCTCTGCTGACTACCAGTGGCCAATGCTTTTCTGTGTCTCTCCACAGGGCACCTCACTGTCAGACTTGTCCATCATTCCACTCAAACATTAGCCTCATCACCATTAAATCCAAAGGAGAATGAAATTCCTGGGCAAGCTCCTACTCTATGTAAGAGGCACTAACAATGTAAATTTAGATTTTGAAGGTAATTAAGGTAGTATTTCAGAAAGCATGTCTACAATGGACAGGTTTAAACTTTACAAATGCATCTACTTTCCCCATTTTCAAATTCTTCAGAAAGAAAAAAGGAGAGAAGCCTTTAGATAAATGGAGACTTGGCTAAAAGAAGCCTTATGTTTCCATATGCATGTTTTTTTTCAAAGCAAGTGAAATCATTTCAGTTTAGTAAAATAACCCTCTTTAAAGAAAGTGATGTTTGTAAGCAAAATCTTAAAATATTCGATTTCAAATTCTTTCTCTCTTTAAATGCCTTTTTGCTGCACTTTCCCCTCTATTACCAAACATAGATAGAAAAACATTTTTCAATCCACCCATTTCTATTCTTACTCCACAACCCTAGTCACCAGACAGAAGATCATAATAGTAGATGTAGAAAGCCTTCACTTCCATGAGAAAAAATGAGCAAAAGCAGCTGTTGAAATCTTACAAAATTAAACACATCTTTATTTTCAAATACAGAATTAAAAAGTAAAAGAAACTATAACATAAAGGCAAGATGAATTCTAAAGGCAATGGGTTTCTATTTTCTAAGAAGAATTTACCTTTTTATAGCTAGCATGAGCAATGAAGGAATTTCCTTTTGATATGCCCAAATACACAAACTGTTTTGTTTTCTTTTTTTAGACGTTAAGTTTCAGTGCCTGGAGGCAAGAAAAGTTTAGAGCTGGTACATAAGGCCCAGAAAGTAATTCTTCCTCTTATTGATAACATAACTACATTTTCTCCATTAGGATACATTCCCACAGCCAAATCGAACAAACAAGTTGAAAGAGGCACGTCCCAAAATAAATGATCGGCTGTGGTCATGAAGGAGGAACCTTTCAGTTGCTTCCCAGTCTCTTACTGCAGAAGGACTGGAGTCCCACACCTCCCTTAGGAAGTCACCCTGAAGAAATAAATCACATTTTTGTAAGAATTGTTCAAAACCACGACATGTGCGAACTCCCTGTCCTGAGGGTATTGGGATATATTCAGCCACAAATTAGAGCCTAGTAAATAAAACCTCTATAGCAAAACTCCACTTCTCAAAATCCAATTAATCTCCAATGCTGTAACTGCCCAATACTGTAAAGTACAACAGACTTTAT